AAAAAAAAAAAAAAATTCATAAGAAGGGGGGAGATCTTGGCAACGTGTATACGCAAGGACCAAATTTCATTTCTCAACGGCCGAAACGTTTTTGTTTGAAGGTAGACCGAATTAAATCAGTAATTGAATTGAAATTCCAACGTTTCGAGGTATTTCAACATATTTGCACCAATGTTTTTATATGTTTTGATATAATTTGACCAATAGTTTGAAATGTGTTGAAAATAAATTCTCAAGCTTTTTTTTCATTTTCATTTTGTTTTTGAAACATTTTCGAAAATATTGCCAAACTATTTATGTTTGTTAGGTGACCGCAACAAAAATTTTATCCTTGTGTATGTGTACTGCCACCTATTGTATCACAAGCACATTGAGCGGCCACTTTTATGGTATTATAGAGATTTTGGCTTTCAGTTGAGAGATGTTTTTTGCAGATCTTGTCCATATTTTTTTCACTTGATATTGTCAAATATGTTTCATGTGGTCTTAAAAATTCATGGGGCTTTTGACATCGGAGTTTCTATTGTTATTTTAGATCTGTTGAAAGATTTGATCCTCGAGTGCGGTCATGGACTAGACTAGGCAGTATGAACACGAAGAGGGGATGCCATTCGTTGGTTGCGCTGAATGAAAAATTGTAAGTTTGAATTTTGTTGATTTTGTGTTGTTGATGGAAATGTTTAAATTCGTGAACCTCGCATAAGATGGAAATGTCATGATCATTTTTCCCTGGTTTTGCAATCCTCCTATATGTCTACCGAATTCTTAAATGATTGCTGGACGTGGAAAACCCCAATCCTTCTATTATTTTTGTGATCAGTGTTAAATTGGTACTGATCATAGTCCAAATTAATCATCATATTCAAGAGCATGTTAATGGAAAATTCTCCTTGCAGATATGCCATGGGTGGTTGCAATGGGACTAGTATGGTTTCAACTGTTGAAGTTTTTGATCCTCGGATTGGTTCGTGGATGGCTGAGGAATCCATGAAGGATCCAAGGGGATTTTTTGCTGCAATTGTGAGTGGGGGTAAGATTTATGTGATCGGTGGTCTGGACCATAACAGCACTATTTTAGAAACGGTATGCAACCCCCAAGTTTTTTTCGCTAATTATCGAGTTTTAGTCTTCCATTACATCCTTTTTTATGTTCTCATAATTTCTACAACATTGTGACCACAGATTGAAAGTTACGATGAGGGTTCCGGTTGGCAGGTGACTAACCTGAAAGCTGTTGGGAAAAGAGGCTTCTTCTCCGCCCTCGTGCTTTGAATTGAGGGGCAGGAGGTTACACAATCTCGTTGATAACCTCTATTGCTCGTAAGTGTCTACAGGTTCATAGGAGTAGGCCTTCTTCATACAAGTAAATTCTGTAAATACACATTATCTAAATCCGTTAGAAAAAGCTCGTGTTGCAGTATCTGAAGCCATGTTTTGAACTAAGAACAATCTTGTTGGCTTCTCCTAACCGTTGATGGATGTATATTCTCCGATTGTGCTTTTATAATGCTTAGCCATTTAAATAGACTATCGAAAGTCGCACGCTGTGTTAGTGCCATCTGGATCTAACGGAAAAAAAAAAAATTATGGTACTGACTTGTACTATACCAAATATATGGGATGAGTTCCAATCCTTGCCGATATAAGAGGGGTACAGTGTTACACGAGTTTATATGCCATGTTACCTAAATTTCTAATTGATACCTGCAGGCATATATGCAGCTTAGTTTCCAGCTGCAACAGGCTGGAACGTTTTGATGTCATGAAATTAATGCAAAACCCACTACAGCCCGATTGTTTGAAGGCAGGGCTGTTAATCATATTAAGCTACTCTCGAGCTTGGTTTGAGTTTGATTCAGATTCGATTTATTAAGGCACAATTTGTTTTTTAAACAAATCTGAATTTGAATAATTTTTTAAATTCATTTATAAAATAAATTCTATAAATTCGACTCAAACTCAACAAGTTCAATTCGTTTATGTGTAAATACTCGAGTTTGGCTTAGGTTCAACTTGTTTTTGACTTGTTCAGAAAAATGAGTTAAACTAGAATAATTTATTAAGCTCGATTAAGAAAACAAATTTTTTAAGTTTAATTCGAGTTCATGCAACTAACAGTCGTACTTGAAGGCTGTAGCTATAATGTAAAACCCACTTGTACTTGTTCAAATTGTGCATGGTCAATTTCTGGGGCTTTTTTCAGATTGAGAATTTGTTTAGTTTATCATAAATTATTGCGTAGCCACACCCGATATATAAAATGTGATAATAAGGAGAAGATGGAGAATATATAAAATAAAATGTAATATTGTTTTTTGTTCAAGTATCTGGAGTTTATTACTATAAATGTCTGCAGTACGGCAGTGGCTACACCTTTTGCCCCCAAATTTTGCACAAGGAAACGAAAGCAGAAGACGGTGGGATTTGAGAAAAAAGCAAACTGCAAAACTTAGAGCTAGATAAAGGAAGGATGAAAAGCAACTGTTTGAGATGGCACAAAGTTTACTTTATATCATGAAACGATGGCAAGACCGCAATGAGGGGATCTCCATAACTAACAGCTTCTGCAAATTACAATAAAGCGAATAACAATGAGCTGAAAGTCTTGTATTTAATATAAGTAACTCAAAAAACCCTTACGCTACGAAATATTAAAAAGCATTTTCCGAGTCAATAAATCAATATCATTACTACAGCATTCGAAAGGAACAGGGTTTCTTGGTCACTTTCTCATTAACCTCTTAAAAGTTGATTTTTTTTTTTTTGACCTTGTGTCGTGTTCAATTTTCTTATTTTACATTTTTTTTATTGCTTTACAATTTTTTCAATCAAATAGTTGCAAAACATTCAAATTCAATGTTGAGATCAGTGCAGGTACAGTATCAACCGAAGTCGTTACTGTAGCATTTTTTGAACTTGTGCCGTGTTCAATTTTCTTATTTTACAATTTTTTTTATTACTTTGCAATTTTTCAATCAATAGTTGCAAAACATTCAAATTCAATAATTGAAATCAATGCAGATACAGAACCAACCGAAGTTGTTACTGTAGCCTTATGCGGCAGGTAGCATTCATCTGCCAAGTACATATTTTCTACTAAAACTAGGATTATTGCAACCAACAGAGTATGGAGAAAATGACTAGCCCTTGTACCACGCAGATGAAGTGCAATGAGTTGATGCACTTGGTCAGAAGTTCATAAATATTTTACTTAGCTGCACATTGAGATGCCACCATGTCCAAAAAACAAAAGAAATAGATAAAAAAAAAAAAACGTTATGCCACGACGTACTTGTGTGTGCTCCATGTGAAGCACGTGGTAATAGGCTAATAGCATCGTATTACTACACCCGCATTTTAAACTTGCCAATTATTAGGAACAATATTAGACATGTATATATCAGAAATAATACCTCCATCGTTGAAGAGGATCTTCAAGACTTCCCCGTCCACATCCGACTGATTAATGATTGCCACGTTAAGAGGGTTGGGGGGGGGGGGGGGG